AAGTCAGGCAACATGAGGAAGAACAGCATCCATGGAGAGGTTGAAATCTTCACTGTGCTGGAAGAGGAGTTTAACCAAGAAGAAGAGGAGGGTCAATCCTATGAACTTGAGGGTGGCTTTGAAGGGGAGGACTGGGGTTTATGCAAATATATATATATATATATTTTTTGAGAAACCCCCCTCCAAAACCTAATCTGAAACCCGAGCCCAGGATCCGGATGGCCTGCTGCTTGCAGATGACACGCCTTCTGCAGCCTCCACGGGTGAGGCTCTCACCAGCTGGGCCCACACCAGGATGACAGGAACAGGAAACAAAAAGAAGGTTGAGGATGACAAGGTGCGGGAGTCATCCTCTTCTTTCCGGCCCCTGAGCCTTTTGTTTTTTTTTTTGAGGGGGGGGATTTTAGAACATATGTGCCGCAACTCAGTTTAGAATCAGTGTGACGCACTCCTAGCTTAGGCTGGTATTTCCATCGGTGCAATGCAACAAGAACCTCCTATCCCTGCTTCCATCATATGTGGAAGTGTGCGGAAAGAAAATCGATTGTGCAGACAATGTGTTGGACCTGCCCTCAGAACACAGTGCGTTGCATTAAATTCAAATGTGACCCGGGGGGCCAACCGGCTGTGTGTATAAGGAGAAGCTGATTGGACTAAACCAAGCAAAGGCAACAACGCTACTTGAATGAATTGACGGGTTCAACAGGGCCCATTTGAGTTCCAACTTCGCGCCCAGGCTTGCGGACCAGATCACCGGGACACTGGACGGCTTGAAAGAGGTCTACGCCAAGCTCACTTCAATCCAGGGAGAGGCTCTTCTTGACTCTGCAAGGTTGGGCAAACATGCAAATTTGCTTGAAATTGAGCGCATGTCCTCAAACCTCGAGCCAAGTCTTTGTAGGGACTTCGGGGTGGAATTGAAAGAGCACTTCAGCGCTTGTACGAAGTTGGACATTGCCCTCAACAATTTCGTGGTGAGATCCAAGCCGCATGATTGAATCTCGCATTCATGATGAAATGGTATACGCGTTCTTTCAAACTCGGCTTGGGAACCCAGGTCAACGCGGGCCGTGAAAGTGAAGGCTGAGCCTGATGGGGCTGTGCAAAAGCCTTCGCCCAAGGACAAAGCATCTGCCAAACGAAGCGCGAAGGCAAAGTCTTCCAAGAAGCGCGGGGGTCCAAAGCAAAAGCAAGTGAAAGCTACAGAAGCTGGCATGTGTGACTGAAATACTTTCGGTCTCATTGAGCCAGGTGAGTTTTGACCCAAGGTGCCAGTTAGGGCAGCGACGCAATAGAAAGTGCCATGATCTACGTACGTTTGGATACGTTTGGACTAAGCTGCCATCTGGGGACCTTGCTTAGACATTAGACATCGACCATTGGAAGCCGCCATGTGGGGAAAATCGCGATCACTTGTACATACTTGATGTGGCACACGATCGATCTAGCATTTGGGTCTTGAAATGGCCAGCCCTCGCAGGTGATGATTTGCAGCCAGGCATTGTGGAGTCCTGCGCAGGCCTGCTTAAGGTCCGGCTTTGGGAGTAAGCCAGGTGTGCCTTTTGATTAATTTCCCAGTACCCCAAAAAGGGTTGGCTGATTCAAGTCCCAGAAATCAAATAGACCTGGAGGGCCTTTTTCCCTCTCAGACAAAGGTGGCCTTTTGATGGGGTTCCCTGAGGGTGTGCTCCAAAAAAACGGTGGTAGTTGCTTCGCCCTCATGTAAATCCCAAAAAAGGATCTGATTAATTTCCAACAGGGAACTTAAACCGTGGGGACCTCTCGATGTAATTCCTTCTCAGAAAAAGGTTGCCTTTTGATTGTTTGCCCATCGCATCAAGTGCACCCTGAAAAATCCAATCAGGCTCCTCTCCTGTGTTTGTGTATCTAGCAAACAAATTATATCTCTCGAAACAGCGGACCTCATGTTTTCCCGGTGTACTCAAACAAAGAAGGGCCACGGTCGCCTCTCAGAATGATGACCTTTTTGTTTTTTTGAAACCAAACGGGGGTCAGCTTCCGTTGGGATTGCCGAGGTAAAAGCGGGGGGTCCATCACAAGGCCATGCAACTTTTCTGAGAGGGGCAGGTGTCCATTGTTTCAGTTTACCCTGACATGAGGGGAGTTTAATCAGCGGGTACATGGAAAAATCAAAAGGCACACCCGGCTTACTCTGAGGGACTGAGAGGGAACAGGCCCCCATGGTTTAAGTTGATACCCTCATGAGCAGAATTTATTCAGCCCACTCTGAGACCCCATGGGTTAAGGTCACCCTGAGAGAAACCACTAAACGTTGCCTTTTTGTGCATTTTCTGTGGGATCAGAGTATGCACAAAGAAGGATGGCTTTTGGTTGATTTCTGGGGTACACTGACAGACCACGTGGTCCCCTTTTTTGGGTTTACACCGTGAAGGGCAAAAAACAGATCGAAAGACCGACCCGTATGGTTCAAGCAGGGTGGGCAATGACAGAGCTTTGGCCGCAAACCTAAAAGTGCTTTTAACACTTTTTGATCAAACACCCAAGGGATGCATTGACACTCGCGACTGTGCTTTTCACCAAGGAATCTTACGGTGCCCTCGCTAGCCTGTGCACCGCTCGCAAGTGGAGACTGTTCCGGATGCGTCCAAAACTTCACATTCTGCAGCATCTAATGCTTCGTGGCAGGATTGGCTTTCACGGGATAACACGCAATTGCATGGGCGCTCATTTCTAAGGTTGGAGTTACAGCACTCAGTCGAGAAGGCTGGCTACTCCTTGAATCCAACAGCTCACATGGCGTGGGCAGATGAGGATTTTGTTGGAAGAATTAGTCGGATATCTCGCCGCCAACACAGCTTGACGGTCTGCACCCGCACACTGCAAGTTGCCCTTATGCAATATAAGAGGCAGTGGGACCGGTTTTTCACCAACTAAGCTGAGCCCGCGGCGAGATGTGTGTGAAGGCAGCCGGGTCATAGAAGAAGACCAGGATGCACGCTGTGCGCTTGTGTGTCGAGGCAAAAGGGGCCTTGAGGTTTGAAGGGGGTACTCATGCTCTTTATTCGAGCGCTTTTTTCTTTTTTTTACCTCGAGCGCTTTTTGCCGCAACGAGCACTTTTATGGGAAACGAGCAATTTTTCCCTCGAGCACAAATTTGTGCTCATTTGGGGGTCCAGGCTGTCTGAACATGGTACTGGTCGAGCAATGGAAAGATCTTCGATACATCCAACGAGAAAGTAACAGGCATTCACGCTGAATGCATGGCCAAGGAACAAGACATGACAAGAAACGAGTGATGTGGAGGGAGCTGGTCTAGATTTAGCGCCAAATGAACAATCCATTGCTTGGATTCAAGGGCGAAACGAACCTTCAGGCGTTAGACACCACAAAAGAACCTGACCTCGCCAGCTTTGCTTGCATCTACTCTCGGGCATGCCTGCCAAACGCCAGGAGTGGACGAACATGCAAACGCGCAACAAACACAATGCAGCAGACCAAACACTTGTCTTTGACAGCGAAGTTGAACATGGACAACACATTACACATCCCTACGTTTTGGTATGATTGTTTACAACTTCCATGTCAGCATGAATGGACATACAAACATTGTTACACGCTGAGCAAGCTCGTGCGCAAGTCAAGGCCCGCTCCAACATTTGAGCAGAAAACCTTGCAAAGCAGCGGGGTTTGAGAGCTCATGGGATTCCAAAGCTTGCAGTTCAGCACCATTTCAAAAAGCATGCTCGAAGTAGCGCGCTTTCCTCTGCACATCTTCGAATTGTTTGGCATTTGCACACTTCGGCAGACGGGATGCCTCGGTGAAAGAGATCTGTTGCTGGTCCTGTACCCGTCGCAGGCATTCCCTGCTTGACTTGAAGACCGCAGCCTGATGCTCAAAAGTGTGAGCATTGACCTCCCTAACTCTTTAAGTCAAGCAAAGTCACGCTGCAACGAAACAACTGTGCCGCAGCTGTACCTTTATTTTCCGGTACGAGGTGACACGTTGTGCACCAGCATTGCCTCAGCCGAGAAGAGCAAGTGACAAAAGCCATCTTAGGACGCGCAATGGCGCAAGTTCACAAGTGTCAAACATGCTGTGCTAAGGAAGGCACCCAGTCTGATGCATCTCAAGCTGGTAGCACAAATCCGTAGCAATCTGCCCTGACAGCTGGGCGACGGCACAACCCAAAGTTGAAAGGCATAGGAACCAAGCGCTAGGCTCATCTGTGTCGTGCAAACTTGCTGACATCCTTGCTTCTTTGACCCAGCGGCCATCCTGCAGAGTCCAGCTGAGACACGGCAAGGGGTGAGGTGAGAGTGAGATGAAATGGGTGTGCTTTTCGACACGCAAAGCTCTCCTTCTGGCTGTAAATGTCAATCTTGAATGACGGAATTGAAAGCTCTGCCTTGTTCTTTATGCCCTGAAGCAATGTCGATTTCATCTGCGTCGCAGGACACAGTATTCGGCTTCTTTTGCGTAATTGCCTCAAGAAATCGGATATGACAACAGTCTCAAACCAAAACAAACAAAGAACTGCTGCGACCCGCTTCTGAGATCATCCACCTGACATTCTCGTGAAGCTTAAGCAACATACCAGAAGGCAAAACAAAGCTGAGGTGCCCTGAAGCCTTCAGAGTGCGAGTCCCAAACAATAACGGACCTGCCAACCCGCTTCTGAGCGCATGGCTTCTTTGAGGTCGTCCACCTGATATAGCCAACCAAACGCGTGAACCACCACTCCCGAACACAGAAAAGAACTGAGGCAATCCCTCGCTAAGTGAAGCAGCTGAGGCGGGGACATCTCTGACACTTGTCGTAATTTTGAACGGATTGCCAATGAACTCCTTGCCGTCCTCGCAAGGCACAAGCACTGCAATCCAGTTCACATCCAGCCGTTAAACCGACGGCTCCACAAACGCCTTCGATTTTGGAGGTGGGACAATCTTCTGTGAAGGAAGTTTCTCTTGAGCATGAACGCAGGGCAGGCAAGACTGTGCACAGCTGGTAAGGCCCGGGCAAGGCTTTTCAGCTGACGGACCCACACCGCAGACACCGCAGCGGATGGTTGCAAGGCGGCACTGCCTTGCAGGCGGCATTCTGGGCAAGCAACGTGATAAGTGCTGCCTTGCAGGAAGGCCAGTCTAGCGCTGAGAACACATTTATTGCAGTATGAAAAAGTCTAGCGCCCATTGCCCAACACTCTCACCCATGGGCGGCGCTGCCTTGCAGGGTGCAGCTCTGACAAGATTCCACTTCGCTGAAAAGATTCCATGATGATTATTCCAGGCGGAAACCCTACAGTGAATGAAGCACAGTTTGCGTCCTGACTTGCGCAACAAATCTTTGCGCCAATGCGAGCGAAAATGTTGCCTGGAGGTTGCGCAGGTTTGTTGATGTGCAAAACCTTCTGGATGCAGCGGATCCTGTTGCTTGTGTCCAACGCACGTGCCACGAGGTCGCACTCGACATAGTACCAAATCTGCACCCTCTGCAGCTTGGGCACCTCCAGGGAGACGGATGATTCAGCTCTTTACCACACTCCAATCTTTGAGAGTCTTCAAGATGACAAAAAGCTTTGGGGCTGGCAATGGAAAGTTCAAATTCAAACAAAAGCCGAGTCGGACAGTTGTTTGGCACCCAAACCTCGGTACAGAATGTTGTAGCCAGTGTGCGCGATATTGGGCACCAAGCCGATGATCTCGACTCCATCTGCTTTCGTTTTCAAGACACGCTCTCGCACCCGAGATTTGCTGCTTCCAATCGTGACTAGTGCCTTGTGGTCGGCGTTGCTGTACGCATACAGCGCAGTGTCAAAGCGTCCCCGGTGCTTTTTGTGGTCTGTCGGGCCACGCTTTGCCATGATACATTCCACACCAAAGGTCCTGTTGTCAATGTTCACAAAGATGTCCACCTTGCCCACTTCTTTGTTGTGGGACGAATCAGCTGCGTATCCGAGCCTTTGCAAGACTTCGATGATGGCAGCATTGTATTGGTCTTCAAAAGGCAAGTCATCCTTTGACAGTGAGGAATCTGCTGCTGCCTTTGGTGAAAACCCCACAACCTGGGCAAAGGTAACATACGGAATCGCGCGCAGTAGCAAGTCCATGCAGTTCACAGGGAGAAAGGGATCAATTCTCACTTTCAAACCGCGAAACCTCTCCAACCGGTTCCGATAGAATGATGCCAGAATTGGGTTTGCAACCATATATAGGACATCGTCTCTCGTCCAGTCTACTCGCCGGAACTCGCCATCATGCTCAATAGGCACCGGGATCACGAAGCCACAGACAGTCAAGTCACGGCGCAACTCCTCAGAAAGCTGGCCTGGACCCTCGCAGAGAATGTTGACAAATTCCATCGGTACCATGTCAAGGTTGCCAAACTGTCCATTGACTTTCACACCTCGAGATGCAGCAAGTCCTTCCAAAATTCACGGTCTCATTATACTTCCACAGTGCTCCGTGTTGATTGTTTTTGACCCATGCCATCGCCGCGATAAAGATGGATCTGTGACCGCCGCAGAATTTCATGAAGAAGTCAACGCTATCCTTGTCCAAGCACACACCAGCCTCTGTCAACCGCTCAACAAAATCCTCACCAACGCCGGGGATGGGAGGAGTCCAAAACACTTTTTGGCTGATCTCAGTGGGTGTGGTAGGACTACTTGCATTTCCTTTGCCGGAGGCTGAGAGAAGGAGCACTTTGGGGTGGATTGAGCTCTTGAAGAGCAATGTTCTAATGCGTGGCAAGCTGAAGATTGTGTGCGCTTCATCCAATACCAATGTCAGATTGTCAGCTTTTGCCAGCCGCAGTGCGTCCTCAAGCTGCGTGCCACTCTCATTCACCTCCTTCCCGGTTGAAAGCTTAATTCCTTCAACGATGTTCTTGCGCCAAGAATCGTACCCGCCATCGCCAAATTGAACACTGATAAATGTCTTCGGATATTCCCGTCCCAAGTGGTACCCCAATGTGGTTTTTCCGACCCCTACACCTCCGCGGAGGAACACGAACTCCTGCCCCTGGAACAAACCCTGGATCTTCGCGCCATAGCCATCCAAGGGGATGAACACGTGTTCTTCAGGATTTGCAGGACTTGTCAGCGGAGGCAACTCAAGTTTCTTGCGCCCACCGGTCTTGCCATCTGCAGCCAATCTTGTTTGCACAGGCGGCTTTTCATGAAATCGTGGCACGAAGACCCGCAGCATGTACATGTGTTCCATGTACCAACCAAGCCCCAATACCACCAACTTCCATGGCTTCCGATTCTTTGGCACAACCATGGCTGCAAGAAGGAGCCTACAGCTCAAACGAGCAGCCTTTTTTGTGGCAAAGAGATCAAACACTCTTCAAGCATCAATCAATGAGATTGGGACTTGGATGACGCGATGACACATTTCTTAGAGCCATGCATCACTGCAGCATGTGTCAAACAAGAACCAACATACTTGAAAACTTCAGTTTTTTGTGAGCGATGATCCCCATTTCGAATTGAGAGGCAATGATGAAAGGCACATCGTCAAACCTGCGAAGCTGCGGTTTGTGGATATTTTGTTGCTTTTGAGAATCTTGTCTTTTTCAAAGAAGGGACACAGCCTGCAAATCAAGCACAAGAAGCCATCTCACGAGATGTGCTGCAGAAGTCGTGTCATTCCGAAGCTTGCAGCTGAGCGCCATTTCCATGAGCATGCTCGACGTAGCGAGCTTTCCACACTTCTTCAAACTGTTTGGCATCTGCGCACTTCGGCGCAAGGAGGGATGCCTCGGTGGAGCAGCTATTGACCAGCACCGGCACTGTTGCTAGTACTGTACCCATTGCACGCATTCCCTGCTTGAGTTGAGCACCGCAGCTTCATGTTGAAACATGTGAGCATGGACCCCCCTAACCCTGCAAGCCACAGAACACCAAAGAAAGACGCTCACTGCAAAGAAGTGACTGTCCCCATGCTTCTTGTACAAGGTGAAACGATGTGCCTGCTTGGCTTCAGCCGAGAACGAAAAAGAGTCAAAGCCAAATTAGGCCAATGATGCAAATTCGAACAATGTAAAATGCTGCACTGCTGGGAGAGGCGCCTGAGACGCGGCTTCGGCTGGTAGTACGAAGCCATAGCAATTGCCCTGAGAGCTGGGCGACGCCAAAATCACGCAAAAAACCCTAGTGCATCGGAACCAAGTGCTCGGCTCGTCTGTCTCACGGAGACTTGCTGCCATCTTGCCTTCTTTGACCCAGCGGCCGTCCTGCAACATCAAGCTGAGACACGGCACAGGGGCGAGGTGAGAGTGTGGAACAAACGAGAATGCAAATGTGTGTGAATGTGTGTTTTGATGTGAGCAAAGCTCTCCTCTCTTGACGGTAAATGTCAATTTGACCAGGAATTTTTTTCGCAGGATACAGTATTTTTGGGTTCTCTGCTTTGATAAGCCTCAAGCAATGCTTCAGCGTTGAATTTTTACTCCAACCCCCCCCCCCCCCCCCCCCCTCCCCCCCCCCCCCCCCTTCAACCCCACCCCCCCCCCCAATACACCCCACCACCCCCAAACCCCCCCCCAACCCCCTCCCCCCCCATCCAACCCAACCATACCAAACTTTCAATCTTTTGTAATCGCCCATTCTGCAACACCAGACCGGTGCAGCAGAAGTTCGGCTTGAGGTCTGCACTTTCTTCAAGTATGCCTGACAAACATTGAAGCTAAGACGCGCAGCATCTTATCAAAGTTCAAGTTCACACGAAGAAACGTGCGATCAAAACGCATTCAACAAATACGTTTAAATACATGTCAGGAGTGCTATGTTTTGCAGGCGCTGGGTCGATTGGAAAAGCATTGCCAGCGAGCTGGAAGCCACCACTCACGCCCTGCAAGGTCAGGGAGTGAGGGCACGGCAGGTGGGCGACAATTCGAGAGTTTTTGTTTTTTTTGTGAGAAGGAAGTCGACCCTTTGGTTTGTCTCTTTCTTAAACATGGACACGAATGCAGGGCAGGCAAGAATGCGCACAGCTGGTAAGGCCCAGGCAAGGCTTCTCAGCTTTGGCAGACCCACACCTGCTGGGGCTATTATTGCGTGACTTATGCATGCGGGTGCGCAATCTAGGCAAAGCAACGTGATAACGTTGCTGCCTTGCAGGAAGGTCTGTCTGAGAGAGCGCTGGAACTCATTTGATGCACTATGACAAAGTCAGAGCCCATTGTTCCTTTGTCGCTCTCACTCTCACCCATCACTCTCGCCCACTCGCAACACATTTGTCGCAACACTGTCTGAACATGGTACTGGTCGAGCAATGGAAAGATCTTCGATACATCCAACGAGTCGAGAAGGTAACAGGCATTCACACTGAATGCATGGCCAAGGAACAAGACATGACAAGAAACGAGTGATGTGGAGGGAGCTGGTCTAGATTTAGCGCCAAATGAACAATCCATTGCTTGGATTCAAGGGCGAAACGAACCTTCAGGCGTTAGACACCACAAAAGAACCTGACCTCGCCAGCTTTGCTTGCATCTACTCAAGGGCATGTCTGCCAAACCCCAGGAGTTGACGAACATGCAAACGTGCAACAGACCCAATGCAGCAGACCAAACACTTGTCTTTGACAGCGAAGTTGAACATGGACAACACATTACACATCCCTACGTTTTGGTATGATTGTTTACAACTTCCAGCTTGTCAGCATGAATGGACATACAAACATTGTTACATGCTGAGCAAGCTCGTGCGCAAGTCAAGGCCCGCTCCAACATTTGAGCAGAAAACCTTGCAAAGTAGCGGGGTTTGAGAGCTCATGGGATTCCAAAGCTTGCAGTTCAGCACCATTTCAAAAAGCATGCTCGAAGTAGCGCGCTTTCCTCCGCACATCTTCGAATTGTTTGGCATTTGCACACTTCGGCAGACGGGATGCCTCGGTGCGCCGGAACTGTTGCTGGTCCTGTACCCGTCGCAGGCATTCCCTGCTTGACTTGAAGACCGCAGCCTGATGCTCAAAAGTGTAAGCATTGACCTCCCAAACTCTTTAAGTCAAGCAAAGTCGCGCTGCAACGAAACAACTGTGCCGCAGCTGTACCTTTATTTTCCGGTACGAGGTGACACGTTGTGCACCAGCATTGCCTCAGCCGAGAAGAGCAAGTGACAAAAGCCATCTTAGGACGCGCAATGGTGCAAGTTCACAAGTGTCAAACATGCTGTGCTAAGGAAGGCACCCAGTCTGATGCATCTCAAGCTGGTAGCACAAATCCGTAGCAATCTGCCCTGAGAGCTGGGCGACAGCAAAACCCGAAGTTGAAAGGCATCGGATCCGAGTGCTCGGCTTGGATTTGCCGCGGTTGACTGCTGCTTCTTCATCTTGTCTGACCCAGCCCCCTTCCTGCAGAGTCAAGCTGAGACACGGCACAGGGGCGAGGTGAGAGTGTGGAACAAACGAGAATGCAAATGTGTGTGTGAATGTGTGTTTTGATGTGAGCAAAGCTCTCCTCTTGACGGTAAATGTCAATTTGATAGGCATCGCAGGATACAGTATTTGGGTTCTCCTGCTTGATAGCCTCAAGCAATGCTCAGAGTTGAAATCACTCAAAACTTCAATCTTTGTCATCGCCCTTCTGCAAAACAGCTCACAATGGAAAGCTCAAGGCTAGCGAGGCTCACAAGCTCTAAGCGCAGGGCTTTCTTGAGGTCGTCCACCTGATCCACCTGATATAGCCAACCAAACGCGTGAACCACCACTCCCGAACACAGAAAAGAACTGAGGCAATCCCTCGCTAAGTGAAGCAGCTGAGGCGGGGACGTCTCTGACACTTGTCGTAATTTTGAACGGATTGCCAATGAACTCCTTGCCGTCCTCGCAAGGCACAAGCACTGCAATCCAATTCACATCCAGCCGTTAAACCGACGGCTCCACAAACGCCTTCGATTTTGGAGGTGGGACAATCTTCTGAGCATGAACGCAGGGCAGGCAAGACTGTGCACAGCTGGTAAGGCCCGGGCAAGGCTTTTCAGCTGACGGACCCACACCGCAGACACCGCAGCGGATGGTTGCAAGGCGGCACTGCCTTGCAGGCGGCATTCGGGGCAAGCAACGTGATAAGTGCTGCCTTGCAGGAAGGCCAGTCTAGCGCTGAGAACACATTTATCGCAGTATGAAAAAGTCTAGCGCCCATTGCCCAACACTCTCACCCATGGGCGGCGCTGCCTTGCAGGGTGCAGCTCTGACAAGATTCCACTTCGCTGAAAAGATTCAATGATGATTATTCCAGGCGGAAACCCTACAGTGAATGAAGCACAGTTTGCATCCTGACTTGCGCAACAAATCTTTGCGCCAATGCGAGCGAAAATGTTGCCTGGAGGTTGCGCAGGTTTGTTGATGCGCAAAACCTTCTGGATGCAGCGGATCCTGTTGCTTGTGTCCAACGCACGTGCCACGAGGTCGCACTCGACATAGTACTCCACCAAATCTGCACCCTCTGCAGCTTGGGCACCTCCAGGGCGACGGATGATTCAGTTCTTTACCACACTCCAATCTTTGAGAGTCTTCAAGATGACAACAAGCTTTGGGGCTGGCAATGGAAAGTTCAAATTCAAACAAAAGCCGAGTCGGACAGTTGTTTGGCACCCAAACCTCGGTACAGAATGTTGTAGCCAGTGTGCGCGATATTGGGCACCAAGCCGATGATCTCGACACCATCTGCTTTCGTTTTCAAGACACGCTCTCGCACCCGAGATTTGCTGCTTCCAATCGTGACTAGTGCCTTGTGGTCGGCGTTGCTGTACGCATACAGCGCAGTGTCAAAGCGTCCCCGGTGCTTTTTGTGGTCTGTCGGGCCACGCTTTGCCATGATACATTCCACACCAAAGGTCCTGTTGTCAATGTTCACAAAGATGTCCACCTTGCCCACTTCTTTGTTGTGGGACGAATCAGCTGCGTATCCGAGCCTTTGCAAGACTTCAATGATGGCAGCATTGTATTGGTCTTCAAAAGGCAAGTCATCCTTTGACAGTGAGGAATCTGCTGCTGCCTTTGGTGAAAACCCCACAACCTGGGCAAAGGTAACATACGGAATCGCACGCAGTAGCAAGTCCATGCAGTTCACAGGGAGAAAGGGATCAATTCTCACTTTCAAACCGCGAAACCTCTCCAACCGGTTCCGATAGAATGA